AGAAAATGAGCCTTGGAGAATGTAGATCCACGACGTGCCCGTGTGAGCTTTAGTTCTCGAACTTCGCAACCTCGTCCCGAGATCGAATTTCAGCGACTCGAGGATTAGACCGCCAGGAAGAAGCTCAAAGGCGACGACGAAATGCGCGGCGGGCTGCGGGTCAACAGCGAACTTCTCCCGATCCAGCCACGAGTACGAGGAGGATTGAACACCAGGCAAGCTTGCGGTCATTGCTAAGCACTTCAGACGGGGATTCTGCAATGGAGGAAGAAATTCTCAGACAGATCATCGACGAAGGGCTTTTGGACGGAATAGATCTGCAAAGCTTGGATCCGGCGCAGGAAGATGAACTCAGCGAACGCATTGCCGAAGCATATCGAAGGAGGCATCTTCGCCAACCTATTCCTCGTCACAATGTGCGCGGTGACGGGGACAATCGTTCTCGGGATCCTAGAAGCCGTCAATCCAGGTCAAATAGCGTTGACGTGCGCCCTCCCGTCACTCGATCACATTTACTTGAAGCACCATCTCAGAGAACCGATCCCTCAAACCGCCAACAAAGGAGCTCCTCTGATCAGGGTGTGAGGCGTCGAGCAACGTCACCAACACATAGAACGGCTGCGTCTTCATCGGACGCACTCATTCAGCCGGCAGTGAGGTCGTCTAGTGATTTATCTGGTCCACGACGCCCTTCCCAGAATAATTCCACCTCAGAATCGTTCCGCCACCGCACGGCATCATCTCTCTCGTCCTCTAGACGGAGCGGTGAATTCGAACGCAGGGTTCGTCAGAGTGGGGTACGAACTGCTGATCGACAGCAGATATTTGGCTCCCCGAATTCAACTTCGTCTGCTACAACCCCAAGTGCTCAAGCAACATCATCCAGCCAGCTCAGCCCCGCGTCTCAACCTGCTGCAACCCCTCAATTGAGTGGGCGTAATCATCCCACTGACCAACGAGACACCGTTGTTCTCTCATCCTCCAGACCGTCATCATCACGAAGCGAAACAGCCGTTCGTACGGGCGAGTCACTTATTCCAGAGCCGTCTATATCATGCAGGCGATGCAATCAACGGGACATTCAATATGATGTCTACAAGACCTGCAATCGATGTAATGATGGCAATTACAATCTGTGTTTACCTTGCTATCGAATGGGCCGCGGATGCCTTCACTGGTTTGGATTTGGACACAGTGCCCAGGCCCGATTTGAGAAGAAATATCCAGCAGGTAGTTCAGATGTCCCAGAACCGCCGCACGTCTTACAATCACGTAAGTACCTGCGTCCATCTGTTGAGGCAGCACAGAACCGGCCGAATAGCTCCAGAAGACGAACAAAGGACGATCCTGCAAAACGATTGCAAAGAGGCATGTTTTGTGATATGTGCCAATCATTTTCAGATGACTGCTTTTGGACATGCAGCGAATGCAACGGCGGAGAATGGGGTTTTTGCAATAGTTGTGTCAACCAAGGCAAATGCTGTACACATGCTCTCCTACCAATCGGTCGAGTGCCGCAGGGTGATATTGTCCCTGGTCATCCAGCAAGCTCGTCTCCCGTCGTGACATCCGATTATGTATCAGCAAATACCATCAAGGTTGGTAGTGACTCCTACCGGCCACTTACCTTCTCCACAAAATGCAATAACTGCACGTATCCAATTCCACCATCGACAAGCCGGTTCCACTGCCCAACATGCAATGACGGGGACTACGATCTTTGCACAAACTGCTATTTGAAACTCGGGGCGAACGGAAAAATCAGTAAAGGCAATGGACGAAACGGCTGGAGAAGGTGTCTACAGGGCCACCGAATGATAATCGTCGGCTTTGAGGACCACCCAGATGGTCAGAGACGAGCTATAGTCAAGGATGTCGTGGGAGGCCATGCTTTGAAAGACGATGTAGCTGTAGCTGTAGCTGCGGCGGCGGCGGCAACCCCCACAACAAGCGACAACGCAAGCACGACTCCCAATTCCAACGGCGCCGTCCTGATCCCCGTTCGCCGAGATTCCGGAGACTGGACGTGGAAAGAGGAAAGCTCAGGCACCACCAGCATCACCCACCGTCGACGCTTTCCGCGAACAAGAACGGCCTGGTCGAACTCATCTCCAACCTCGCTGGCCGATCCATCCGCGAATACTCCCTTTTCCTCCCATTTCCCGCCATCAGGTGGTGTTGGGCTGCGTCTCTTGGCTCGTTGGTCGTATTACCCGGAGCCCGACGTGACGGATGAAATTATGTTCCCATGCGGTGCGGAGATTACGGAGGCGGACAACATCAATGATGACTGGATGTGGGGATGCTATGCGGGGCAAAAAGGTCTGTTTCCCGGGTCATATGTGGTGGTTATAGGGGAAGTAAGGTTGGAGTAGAATTGGAAGTAGGGGAGCTAGGAGGTAGAAATGGTTCATTGCAACGGGATAATGATGTTCACGCTTTTTTTCTATATTATTTAATGACGACGATGGGATATACGATCAATGTTCGATTGACGACTGTACTGTACATACATCATAGTACATTAATCAATACCATGTTAATGAGATCACCACCATTTAGCGATTACTAGTAGCCATGTTATGCATTCTTGCTACATGCTCTGAATAATACGAAACAAGTCCGACAAGGGAGATTCTCCTCCGGCCAATTCAGGCAAAGTCATATATGGAGATTGCCGAGTTGTACAGTACATTCTAGTCCATTGGAAAGATATTCAGAACCATAAAGGGTTGGCCAATGGTCAATCCCGCTTTCCACGTGCAACGCATTTTTGCAGCAAATAGAACGGATCGGTTATCTCAGTAATAGTCTTTCAGCCTCTTCTAAATATAACTCTTGTCTTTCTAACTAAGAGAACTATACCTCCGCTGAAAAGATGTCACTGATCACTTGGACTCAATCTGGTACCACCTTGAAGGTTGGAGATTTACTAGATTTCTAGAGAGGGTGATGTGGATTTTTGATAGAAACTGAAAGTTGTAAAGAAGAATAAATCAGTTGAAATAAAATCATTTTCAAAAGCTACTACAGCAGATGTGAAAATGCGATTAGCAATCAAAAGATACAGTACAATAACAACGAATGGGGAAAAAAAAAAAATAATAATAATAAAAACTGTAGTTAAACTATCATGAATTGCACAGATAAAGTTACTTCAACTCAGCAGACAAAAATTCCAACCAGGACAAAAAAAAAAAAAAAAAAAAAAAAAAAAAAAACAACTAGTAATCTGCATAGTAGAGAATGAAATATCCACACAAAGTAATGACTTTAATTTAAATCTTGTATACTCAAGTGGATCTGTAGCAAATAATATATCAATCATCATCATCATTTGCGGCACTTGGTATTGAAGCAGCCTGATTCAGGGAACTGTTAAGGAGGTAAGAAATTGAAATTGAAACGGTTCAACCGACAGAGTCGCTTAGAGTTAACTTACTAAAGTAATTCGGAATTTAATGAAGATACTGCCCCTGAGTTGCCGTTGCACAGACGAAAGTATATATCTTGAAAAATGGCGCCTTGTGCGGTACTGCGTTGCAAAACCTGTTCGTGTCCATGAACAATCCTGTTGCATCGCCCACAGTCCTCTTGGTCATTGACCTTCGTGTTGCAAGTTCAAAAGGCTCTATTCCAGTTAGCCATCTAACATGGGAGACTGATATATGTTAACCGATTTCACCAAATATAGATATTCAAGGTACCAAACTAAACTTTTAAGCGCCGGGTGGGAATGGGAGGGACTGACGGCTTGCGTGATTGGAGGCTTCGAAAAACTTGAAGCTAAGAGATGAAGATGACTCGGATGCCCTGAGTACCCAAAAGCGCGCTGGAACCCGTGGATCTGCAGCTCTAGCGGCTATAAGAAAACTATGATCAACCAACCAGAAGAGCAATTTTGTTCGCCCACACATCGCATCAAAAAAGATGGAAATTTTGAGGGCCAATAAGTTATTGATCTCGTGAAATAAAAAGCAAATTGACATCCATTATGAGGATTATCTAATAAAATACGGATAAACATCTCGTTGCAAAATTCACATCCTACTTGCTGGTTAGTACGACCTGGCCAAACAAAAAGCAAAGAAATGAAAGGACGCACTTTGCTACTGGTGTAAACCCAAGCAATCGCATGCCATTCTCAAGTACCTGAAGGGCCCCTTCGTACAGCGCGGACCTCGCCAGCATAACTTCGGGAGCCTCGTCGGTCCCCAAAACCTTGATCACATCCTAGGCAGAAGACACCTGGTGCGTAAGCCTGAAGAGATAGGTGAGTATGGTGGTTGGTTCCAGAGTTTTGAACGCCTGGGTCGTCATGTCTGGATATTGGGCCATGAGACGAAGTATATCGATGGCATGGGGTTCCTTTAACAAGGAAAAATCAGCCTTCGCGACTTGGTCCGCTGTTAGGTTTGCTTTTCGCATGATAGAGCAGAGCCTTGCATGGGAGTATTGGAGGTAAAGGCCCGTATCGCCTTCAAATGAAGTCATTTTGGTAATGTCAAAAGGGTAATTGTTGATCCTTTTGCCACTCATGTCCTGGGCCATAATTGCCGTGATACCAACGACGTCTGCCACAGCTTCTGGGTCCGCCACTTGAGCGTACTTCGCTTCGTTAGAACGCATAACCTCGTGCATGGCGCTCCCGCATTCATCCAGTATATCGCTCAGAAGCTTCACTGTCCCGAGCCTTGATGACATTCCTTGAACTTTCCCAAAATTGAATATGAACAAGTTTAGCTGCAATATCAGGATAGCCCATAATCTCGACAGTTTTGAAGACACGCTGAAAGTATGAGTCCTGTTCGGCGGAAACAACATATATCATTTTCTCAAATTCGTACTTTTCCACACGCTCCAAAACAGCGGCGACGTCGCGAAGAAGATAGGTCGTCGTTCCACCTCGGTTCCGGACAACTGCAGTACCGAGCTTGCGTGCGCCATGTTTCTCGAAATTAATGACCCATGATCCCTCATTTTCTTCGTAAATACCTCTGTCCTTCAGCATATTTTCGACCTTCTCAATTGTTTCTGGCCGCACGGTCGATTCCCCAGAGTACTCATCAAAGGCTATGTTCAATCGTGCATACGTAGAGATGTACCGCTCGATACTAATGTCGCGAAATCGCTTCCATAAGCTGAGCGCTTCTGGATCTCTATCTTCCATTCTTTTGAAGAAGGCATTCCGCTCAGCATAAAGTCCTCTGTTCTCTATTTCCAAGGTGTACTGACCATTGTCTCTGGCGCTCTTGCTAGCTTCCTGCTCTGATTTGAACAGAGCATTGATCTTTACATAGACATCGAGTAAATGCTTCAACGCCTCCTTTTGAAACAGTTCTTCAGAGCCAAATTTCTGCCAACCCACTGCAAGCAAGCCGAACTGCTTTCCCCAATCACCGAGATAGTTTATCTTAAGGACGTCCCAGCCCATACTCTTGTAGAGATTTGAGATGTAAGCACCAATAATGGTACTGCGTAGGTGCCCTGCATGGAACTCTTTGGCAATGTTTGGCGAAGAAAACTCCACAATTACTTTCTTTCGGCCAGCGGCTTCATTCTTGGGATTTTTCAGACCAGCAAGTTTATCGTGGCCATACTATTGTCGGCGATCAAAGATGTACGGCAAAATCAAGCGGGGGAGGCTTGTCTCATTGAAAAAGATTGGAATGAAGACACCTTTAGGGACGGGGCTGGAGATGAGAGAAATGGCACACAGCTGTAGTTTAATGTTAGATTCGAAGCATGCTGTTAATAGTTTGAAAAGAGTATGAGGGTAAACTGCGTATTACCTTGTTTGATAAGTCAACGGCAACCTGGTCAATGTTGACCCCTTTGAGGCGGAGGCGCGCAACAACCAGCACCACGTCGCCATGTGCCAACACTTGTGTTCGTTGGATGGAATTGTACGCAATGTCCTCGTTGCAGTTGACTACCTGTTTCACGACCTCAGCAACATAACATCGATACAGGTCGACTGGATTGCTTATAATATTCGCGGTGGGAAACGCTGGGATGGGAATCTCCAGTCCGAGGTCCTGGAGGTGAGTCTCCAAGCCCTGAATAGTAAGAGTGCCCATGCTGGCAACAGGATGCAAAGCTCACTGTCCGAATATTAGTGTACGCGGAAGGTTTTGGCTTCTCCAATCTAACAAAAAAAAAAAAAATGAGCCAAAATGAAAGCTTTGCGTTGCAATGAGTCATGAACTCTTGGAAGAAGCGGCTCAACAGCCACGAAAAATCATAGATAATCACATTTTCTACTCTGTCCTACGTGTTGGGGGGGTTTGGATTGGTTCGTCCCCTCTACCACCAGCATGGCGCTGGTGTGAGAGAGCTCTTTTGCCCCAGTGGCCTTACACTATGAAACTAACGAGAGAACATGGTAAATAATGAACGACACGTGACTTTAATGATTATTGGAGGATCAGTGTTGTGGAACTATTTCTACATAAATATTGAGATATTAGAGTATGAAGACTATATGATACTGATATCTCTATCTTGATCTAAGACACAGCAAAGAGCAGTATATATTGTGATGATAATGCTGTAATCTGAATACCAATCTCATAATTTGTAAGTGTAATATATGCGTAAAGGCACAGAATAATACAGATTGTATAGCTCAACAATATACTATAATTTTAGATTTTAAACTGTTTATATATTAATATATATATTTGAATGGGTAAATTACATATCATATACTATTTCGATATGGTAGGTGTTGGGATATCCACTAGATGACCATCATAGATTTTATATGGAAAATCAAGGGCGTTGAGTAGAAACATGACTCCGTTAGGGCGACGCTACGGGAGGAAGATTGTCAAGCAATTTATGCTTGGCTGGTCTTCGTTTGTCTCTGCGCTTCGGCTTCCCCCTATTTTTATCAGTATTTTCTGCTCGCTGTTCACAGCCCTGACAAGACCACAAGATGGGTTCTGGCAGTTGGCATAACACAGTCTAAGGAGCCAGTTCCATCTGTCCCCAAATCTGACCCATTCATCACGCTACACCAAGATATAGGCAAAAAGGGGAGGGGGAAAAAAAAAAAAGAAAAAGAAAAAGAAAAATTTAGCCGGCCAACAATCTTCACCTCCAGGGCGCAAAAATGTCCTCCGTTAAAATAGACAGACCGGCCTTCCTCCTGGATCTCCCCACGGCCCTCTCCCTCGCCGCCGCTCTCTCCCTCCTCCCCCTGGCCTCCCTCCTCACCGTCACCCTCATTCCGTCCAAGCGCCCCAAGACAGACCGCATCCTCTTCTTCTGGCACGCTTACGACGCCCTCACCCATCTCATAATCGAAGGCTGCTTCTTATACAACTGCTTTTTCATATCCATGGAAATCCCCGCCGTTACCGCCCAGCACCTTCCCGGCCCACACTTCCTCGACCAGCCGCAGCGCCTGTACGGAGCCGCGTACGGCACGGGCCCCACCTCTCGCTTGTGGCAGGAGTATAGCAAGGCAGATAGTCGCTGGTTGGGTGCGGATCTAGGCGTGGTTTCTCTCGAGCTGCTTACGGTTCTGCTGGGCGGGCCCGCTGCGGTGTATATCTGCTACGCACTGTACAAGTCGGCCTCTGCTGCGTCGTCATCGTCGTCGTCAGATGCGGTAGTGCAAACAGCAAAGTACCGGTTCAAGATGTGGTTTGTGGCTATTGGGCTGGCTGTCGCGGAGTTGTATGGAGGATTCATGACCTTTGCGCCGGAGTGGCTTTCCGGTAGCCATGCCTTGGATACCAGCGACCCGATGTACCTGTGGCTTTACCTTGTGTTTTTCAATGTTTTGTGGGTGTTTTTGCCAATTTGGGTTTTGAAACAGGGATGGGTAGAGGTTAAGGCGCAGTTTGTTGGTGCGGCGTTGGCTGGCGGCAAGAGTGGAGCTTCTAAGTTGTGAAGCAAAAAATCGAGGAGGAGAAGTGGAGGGGAAATTTTTAAGAAGAGATCAAATTTAGAGACATGCAATAGTAAATTTAATGTCTACGAGTCTTATGGCGATATTGTCGGACATTGCAAGTCAATTTGCCCATGGTTCGATGCATGAATATTTACAACCTCTAGAAATAATCCCTGGAATTTTGCCCAAGCAGAATCTGCAAAATATGCTGCTTTCTTGAGGACTAGAACTGTGCTCAAACAGCTTTGAGGAATATCAAAATATATATTGTCATAAATCCTCATGCGCTCGCGAAGACCACTCCACACCACCCGCAAAACAAACTAGAGCACCAGCCCCTCCCTCTGCGACAAGGATAAATACTAGTATCCACGATGATGGGCCCTTGTGGGACACTCGCTTGGATTGGATCCAACGATTCGCCATGTATCCGTAAGTTAGCCAACTGCCAACAACCACGACAGGGCCAAGGAAGACACCAAGAAAATTCCACTGCCGTGGCCGGGTCAGCATTGCAGCACCGCCGCCCTCGACAAACGGTTGATGCACAACAGGAAGAAGCGTTTTGAATAGCCCGACTAGGGGGTGCGAGATGATGTCCCCTGTATGACCGATGCGCCGTTTCGGCATCAGTTCTACTAGGATCTCTCAAACCAGTCTACCCCGCCACAATCGCTTGCAACCTCCACCGGGCTCTAATGATGTCAGGGACTTGCCCTTGGGAAAACTAGCGATGGCTAGGATCCCAAACCACAGGCGCCAGCCCATAGCAAACTTCCGTGGTCGGGAACTTGGCGAGTTTGCGCATCTGATTATGAGAGGGAGAGCGTTCTGAGCCCTTTTGTGGGCCTCGTCGGTCAGCCACGAGTTAAATAGTCACTCTCATCCCCCGCTGCGGCCGTTGCCCCTCGTCGTTCACTGATTCTTCTTCTTCTTCTTCTTCGCTGCTTGTTTGACAGTCATTTGTTGAAGCGTTTCACTCTCTTTCCCTGTTGTTTCATTGCAGTGAAGAGAGTCGCTGTGAAAGTCTTAACGTACCGTCAACTCTTAACGTACCGTCAACTCTGGCCATCGTCGTCGTGGTGTGCATCTATTACACGGAATTGTTACAGTCTCCCTCTGATTATATCGGCCATTCGGGTATCATTTTTAAGTGGGACTGCTGACGTGCTTCGAGTTTTGAAACAAAAAAGATGGCTACTCCAAATCCACCTGGCTGTATGTACATCTCCAGGCTCAAGTCGAGTTAAGCTAGTAATGATTGTTATACTTACCAGTTCTTAGCTGGACAACATTTCGCTGCGCAACCCGGACAGTATCCACCACAGCAATATGGAGCTCCTGCTCCCCAGGCCTTCTCTTCACAGGGACATCCCACCCAAGGTGGGCATCCTCCCCTCCAGCAGGGACAGTACCCTCAGTACGGAAACTACCCTCCCCAGAATCCATATCCGCCACAACAGGGCCAACAATATCCTCCACCTGCGCAGTACCCTCCTCCCGGTCAGTATCCTCCACCGGGTCAATATCCACCCCAACATGGCCAGTTTCCGCCTCAACCCTATCCCCAACAATATCAGCAGCCACAGGGGCAATACTACCCTCCACAGCAGCAGTATGGATACCCCCAGCAAGCTCCACCAGCAGGGTATAATTCACAACATCCAGGTGCTCCAGGGTACGGCGCACCTCCTTCCTGCCTGAATCCTACGATGCAACCAGCTCCTGCTCCAGGAAATATGGTCGGAGGTCTATCGATAGGCTACGTTCCAGGCCAGATGGCTGCAGGTGATCTATCAGTAGATGCTGATGCCCTCCGCGCCGCCATGAAAGGATTCGGCACAAATCAGAAGGTTCTCATTAGCATTCTCTGCAAAGCAGATCCCCTCGCTATTGAAAGGTTAAAGGATACGTTCTCGAAACGCCTCGGACGTGATTTGAAAAAAGACATCATCTCCGAGACGTCCGGCAACTTCGAAAATGTCCTCGTCGCACTGGTTCACGGTCCGCTTAAGCAGGATGTCTATGCCATCAGGAAATCACTCAAGGGAGCCGGCACCGATGAAGCGATACTCGATGACATTCTTCTAGGCCGATCCAACGCTGATCTTCTAGCGATCAAACAAGCCTACTCAGCCGAGTTCAAAGGTCGCTCTCTCGAGACGGACGTCAGAGACGACCTCTCTGGAGATGTGAGGGCGCTTTACAATATTGTCCTGACTGCATCGCGGCCTGAAGAGAATGTGCCCATCACTGCTGATGCAATAAGCCAGGCCGTCAAAGACCTCCATCATGCGATGGGCACGCTTATGCCCAACGCAGCCGTCGTCAGCAGGATATTCGCACGCCACTCACATCACCAGCTACGCCAGATAAAACAACAGTACGACCTGCAATTCAAGTCCTTGCTCGAAAGAACAGTTGAGAGTAAATTCTCCGGACACATCAAGGCAGCACTTGTCGCGATACTACAAAGTGCCGTGGACCCGATCAAGCGGGATGTCGAGGGACTTGAGAACGCCATGAAAGGCTGGGGGACCAAGGATACGCATCTCGTCGAGCGGCTCGTTCGGATTCACTGGGACAGAAACCGTATGCAGCAGGTCAAAGCTATGTATAGAGGTATCTACCACAAGGAACTCGCGGATAGGGTTAAGGGGGAGACTAGCGGCGATTATAAGGCGGCGTTGGTGGCGATTTTGGAATGAATATTAGAAAATGGAGTTTGGTTTCTAATTTTTTTAATTTATTATATATTTTCCTTCGGAGAAGTTGTTTTTCCTGCATTTCTCCTGGTATGGATATATTTTTTAATGCCACACGCTTGCCCTCATTTTCGACCCCGTTCCCCTTCTTCTTGTCTTTCTCCAGTTCTGGCCTCCGCTTGAGACTCGGAATGCACTGGTTCACTTTGTCGAGTCTCTTTTTCCTTAGATATTATTACCCATTATATATTACATTGCGCATTAGGGGAAAGTTTCCGCAGATGAAACATACATTTCATATTTTTAACCAGCGGCGAGGCTGTAAATGAACACACATATTTATATACTCTGTATATTCACCCCAGCTTTAAAACAAGTTGTGGAATGTTAGTTTCTTTCGTGTGAGGATTATTATATTTATTTTTTATTTATTTATTTATTTATTTATTTATTTATTTATTTATTTATTTATTTATTTTTGTTTCCATCAAAGTCACGTATCATGTATGAGGGGGATCACTATGGCTTAAGCATGACACATGCACTATCTTTACGGACAGTAAATGGATTGTAAATAAATGTACACGGAAGGTTGATATTAGGAGCGAGTGTATGAATAGATTCAACGGTTGTTAAAAGTTGAAACTTAAAAGAACCGAAATTTCTAGCATTGGGATCAAAAACACAACACCCCACACATCCTGTAAGAATTCCCCTGATAACGCCCAACTTGAATTCATTTCATTTCTCATTTCTCATCATCACTTCGTAAAGCTCGTGTGTATGTACAGTATACCGTGATCGTGCAGAGAGGAATCAGTCGTCGGAAATTTATTGTGGCCGGATAGACATACTTTCGTCCACCAGTGTCGAGTATATATGACTCGCGTATGGATTGGATGGATATAAGAAGGATAAGAACTTTGGAGACGGTAAGTCAGTTTGATATATCTATTAGAGTTTCGAAAGAGTAGTGGGAGGTATTTAAAGCATACCCATACCTTATAATCAATAGACGTCTGCGGGTCGTCTGCGATGTGGCTTCAAGTCGGTGACTCATTTGGACGTTTGTTTCACCGAGACCAACTCCTATCTCCATCTTCAAAATACGTACATTTGGAAAGAAGTAATATCCTGATCCTGATTTATCCCGCCCTTCCTCCGATAAAAACAAATGCACCAAAGATGACGTCAGAAGCTCTCCGCGCTCCCAAATCCAAACCCGCAATATCAAAGTCGGTAATAAAACACGATCGAAACAAAAGTAAACAAACAAACAAACAAACAAAAATACTGAAAAGAAAAGGAAGAAAAGAAAGAGAACAAATCTCCGCAGCTACAGTGCATGCAGCAATATGCCCCCCCCCCCCCCCCCCACTGTTTGTCAATTATCACATTGAATTTAAATCTTGTGCTCTGAATTGAATCCCAGATGATCAAAGAATCATTTCCATCAAATTGACTCCTTGCCTACCTGTGATATAGCTAGTAGTTCGGCTTCCGTGATGGAAGTTGTTATTATTCTCTGTCTCTTTAACTTTCAATCAACAAATTCTTCAAAAAGTTTGAAGATGTAATCTTTTGTTGATCTTTTATCTGAATTATCCGCGAAGGAGGTATCACTAACTGCTTCAACCACATTCATTGATAAGCCATCATTATCAGATACGCTATATTCAATCATTATATTCTTTGAATCTCGCAGATAAGTGATAACGCGATCGATCTCTGCAGGCCAAAATTCGATTCGCGACAAGGCTTCAGGTGGTGGATGAGAAGCACCCACTGGCTTCACGGATAGCACCTCCAATGATCACACGAGGAAGAGGGGCTGGAACCCGGCAGCGCTCAAAGACCAAGATCCAGCGGTTGGGGGCGCTGCTACCTGCAGTCAATAGACCCACACTTGCCATCCCACACTACTCAGAGGGATGCGGGACAGACCCCACAGAGGGTGTAGACAAAAAGAGTGCTGCTC